TGATTTTTGAAATTCAAACATTAATGTTTGATTTATAAAATTGTACGTTTATAAAAAAAACACAACTTTAATTAGAGTAATATAAATACAATTAAACGATATAACAGAAAATAATTGTATGGTCAACTACATATGATATCTAAATGAACATAAATACAATTTTTACAAAGTAGTTGAAGTGGTAAATGATTTATCGCTAAAATATTATGTTATATAACGTTTAAAATATTAAAATGTCATATTTTAGTTAGATTTTTAAATTAGACATATGTACGTATTTGTGAATTTATGTTAGAAAATTGATGTAAATTTGTAAAAATTTCTAACATGGCATATAAAATTAATTGAATTATTTTGATTGGTTAATTTAATTGATTTATTCCTTAAAAACTTCATTTGTTGACACCTATGATTTATTCACTTAGTGTATTTTCAATTAATAATATAGAGGATGATGTAGCAAATATAAATATATTAAATTTTGTTTGATTAAAATGAACAATTACTCTTTCTTTAAACAAGACTCTAAATTTGGTAATTTTTAAACGACTTTCTCAGTCAAGAATCACTTATAATAAGTCAAAGAAGTATTTAAGACTATACCTAAAATATAACTATTCATAATCAAACATACATTAAATCAAGATTTGGTCAACAATTCCGTTTGTATATATATACACAACAAACTTCTTAGTAAAACGTGCATAGTATTTTGTACAATAATAAAAAAAAAAGAATTAAGAAAGATGAATATGAAAAAATGTAGCGTATTAGTGATAACGATGATGATAGTAATAACGGCCATGGGAGGAGAAGTAGAAGGAATTCCATGCACACTCAAATGCTTGCTCAAGTGCACTGGTATGCTTTTTCATGGACCAACTTGCGTCGATCGATGTATACAAGAAATATGTCACCCACCTAATCTTCCACCACAATCATCAGAGTATCAATCTCTTCACTTATTATATTGAGTTTTTTTTTTCTTTTATATGTGTGTTTGTATTAATTTAAAAATCTTAACACTATATTTTTTACCAAAAAAAAATGAAAAACCTACACTATATATTGTGTTTGTTTCGAAGAGATGCGTGTTTCTATTATTATTTTTTTTCTGAAAAAAATAAACATTTGTTTGTGTTGCATGTGTGTAGATAGAAGTTGATATGATATGTTTTATATGGGTACATTGCAGGAAGGAGGCTATAGGAATGAGGAACATCAAAGGGTAGAAAAGACATCAATAGAATAATCGATGTATTGTAAACTAGTTAAAACCTTTACTTAAATAAATTTATCTATATTTTGGCTTCAACAAATAATTAATACACTAAGAATATATAAATTAATATCCTAGTTATAATCCTCAATACTCAATATAGTTATGCGTGAATCCCTTACATTAATAGAGAAGCGATTAACTTATGTATATCTCTAAAATCATTCTCCTATTTTTATTATAATATGACATTGATAAAATATGACATGACAATTTAACTCTCTAATTAAATTCACTAATCATAATTACTTAGCCTATTAAATCAACCACTCAACGCCAAATTACTTAGTCTACTAATGGCTCTCTCATAATTACAATTTGACTATCTCAAAATCGACCACTTAGTACAATTTTACTCTCTCAAAATCGACCACTTAAAAAAAAAAGTAAATTGGCATATATATCACTTTCCTAGAGAAGTGTTGGGGTCGAATCTCTCCCTGGAGATAACCAGTCACAAAAAGGCTAAGTATGGTGATCGTGTTCGAATCGGTTCGCCAACCGACGTCATATAGATCACATATGTACCGAAATCAGCATCCCACGAAAGCGTACCGATACCGCAACGCGAGCATATGAGCCGATGTCGTGACCAAAGTCAGGAACACGCGGTACCGATGTCAGGCACACACAGTACCGAAGTCGAGAACACACGGTACCGAAGTCGAGAACACACGGTACCGATGTGGGGCACACGCGGTACCGAAGTCGGGAACACGCGGTACCGATGTGGGGCACACGCAGTACCGAAGTCGGGAACACGCAGCGCCGATGTCATCCTAGGATCGGCGCCGATGTCGCCGAGTGAGTGGTGCTGGTGCCGATGTTGAGACCTGGTGTCGATGTCGTGATGTGCGACTGATGTCACGAGGTGCCGATATTGCTCGAGGTGCCAACTTCGCCCGAGGTGTTGAGGGCGCGAAATGCCAAACGCCGATGCCGCGTCACAGCCGATCTCATTGCGTACTGCCGATGTCGATCGTTACTTTGATCAAACTCATGACAGCAATAACGTGACTAAGTGGAGTTGAACCGAAGAGCATGTGATGAGGCCCAACAAGACGACACCGACTCGAGCCTTCCTC